TTGTTTGTTTTGTTTTTTTTAGTAAGATAATTTAGAGTTTATTAAGTACTAGCTGAGAAGGAAGAAGAAAATTTTGAGGAGACTTTTTCAGCATCTTACCGGCTCTTTGGTTAGCCTTCCCATATAGTAAGAGCAGCATGGATAAGTGAGAATTTGAATATATGCTCTGTAGTACTCTGAGAAGCGATAAGGAAGTGAAGCTGCAAGGAAGAGCATGAGCTGTGAGGACTTCTACCTTTGAATGACTAAAATGCTTCTCTGAACTTCAAATAAATAAATCACCCTTGGTGCAAGGAACTATTTGTGTCCTCTTACTTATAAATAATGTATTTTATCCTGGTCCACAAGGACAAAAACTGTCCTTGATGCAACAAAATCCTTCCTGAATTACTAGGTATTGCTGAACTGGGAGAAAAATTCCCTTCCATTTTTTAAGTGTCTGCAGAACAAACCACTGCGTCAGATAGCTTGAAAATAGTAGTTTTTGCTAGAAATCACTCTTAGGAAATTGAATAGGATATTTATTTATTGTTAGCATGCCTATGTTTTCATTACAATGTTCCATTTATTTGGGTATTATTTTAACATTTGAAATAATTTATTGTAAAGACATAATGTAATTAAGACTCTTTTTCTTTTGGTTTTGGTTCTACAGTCCATACAGTGACACTGTTTCTTAATATCTTTGGATGTTTGGCCTGGTTTTATGTTGATCCGACACGAGGGGTTGATTTTGGATTGAGTATCCTCTGGTTCTTGCTTTTTACTCCTTGTTCTTTTGTCTGCTGGTACAGACCACTTTATGGAGCTTTCAGGTAATAACTTCAGCTTGGCTTAAGATGCAAATAAATAAATACATATATATCAACTTGCTGAAATGTGCTAACCTAATAGAATTTGCTGAGTTATCTTTATGATAATCCTTCAATATGATTGAGTGACTGCCTGTCATTAGAAACAGGTAGTATATTTGTCGTTAGGTCAGTTGATATACCTGAAATAGATGGCAACATTTAGGAATGTCATGGCATATTTAAAATCTTAGCTTCTGCAATTGCACATAATAGTTCCAGGAAATATTTAACTTTGTATTGGGCTAATGAGGTTTTTAATTGAAATTCTCATTGAATCTCTACCCCATGACACCAAGAATCTGAGCAGGTTAGTAGGTAAGGGTTTATTATTACTTGTTTGGTTTGCTGAAGGAACCTGCTAAAACTCTACACTTAAAAGTCTACATTTTTAGTAACCTACAGCGTATGTTATTGCAATAGATTGAGATTCTTGAGAACAAGTAGAGCAGGTGCATAGCTACCAAACTCCAGTATTTTCTGCAGATTTTAGCACTCTGCATTTCTCAAATTTCCCAAGTCTGAGGTGCAATATTTTTAAGTTACAGAATACTGCGATTCGAGTGCTAAATAGAGTGTTTTGGTGAAAAATACAGATGTTCTAAAACCTTCTGCTCTTGCAGAATTTCTTGTGGATTGATTTTATTATTGAAATGAATTCAGAAGAATTAGAATATTGGAAAACTCAGTTGAAGTACACTAATTTTTATTGAGAGTTTGATAATTGTCAACCCTTCATTGCAGTTGAGCATAACCTGTAGGCTAAAGTAGATTTCTTTTGCCAAGAATATATTGCTGCAACCGAACATCTTGGAATGTGCTATAAGTTCTTGTATTCTTATGGTTAAAGTATGAGGACATTTTTCTTTTACAACTAACTTTTGTTCATGATTTATATCACAATGTGGGTTTGAATTGAGACCAATAGAAAATATAGAAAATGACCAACATTTTGACTTGTTAGCTTTTATTAATTCATTTTAAATCTTACACATCCTCCTTTAATAGTGTTGTTTTCTACGTAATTATTATTTCAAAATTAACTGATTTGTTGAAGGTGTTCACAGCGTTGCTTATCATTGAGGTTTTTAAATCTAGCAGATGTTGGTGTTATTCTTTGGAAAGAGAAAACTGCTACTTTCATTTTCGACTTTCAGTTTCTCAGCTGAAAATGAAATAGTTATTGAACTGAGCAGGTTGAATAAACAGAAATTAAGAAACCTTCTTCTGCAAACAGTCTTGGTTTTAGCAAAATCCTGATCTAGGTTCTTAATCTGTGACCTAGCTAATTCAAAGATTTTCACTTTCTTTACGACTTTGGCACGAGCATACCGTGCATTTATTAATTTTGATAATAATAATTTGAAGTCTTTATTAGAAGCTTTGCTTGTGCATTTATTTTAGATACTGACTGTCCTGAATATTTCTAGTGTCTGTCAAACTGGCGTTTTAGTAATTTGAACAGCCAGTGTATTTTGTATATTGTTTTTAAAGAAAAACTGCTCCAGTATTCTCATCTGCATTATTTTCTAATAATTCCATATTAGATTTTATTTCTTTTCACCAGTAAAAGAATTTCCACCCACACTGGCAGTGGTGTAAACATCAACGTGAAAGCAGAACAGACTCCTATTCTTCAAGCACTGTAGCAAAACTTACTGGTTAGTCGTGCGCAGGAAAGCTGCGGTGGGAGCAGAGCATTGTGCCACACACTAACAAGCAGTGTTTTGTGGCTTTCCTGACCTCTGCTAGAGACACAGGAGGCTGAAGTAGTGTAGTGTGGAATAAGCAGCTTTTTACCAAAAAAAAAAAATATATATATATATATATATTTTTTTTTTTACATTGATACTATAGTATTTGTCAAACGGCATCAATTTCCTGTTGGCTTTAATTTTTTTCTCCTTCTTTCAGGAGTGACAGCTCGTTCAGATTCTTTGTGTTCTTCTTTGTGTATATCTGCCAGTTTGCTGTCCATGTACTTCAAGCTGCAGGATTCCAACGGTGGGGAAACTGGTGGGTATTCGGCTCTCTGTAGCATTGTACTATCTATATACCACCAACAAAGAAGCCCAAAGCTTGTATTTGAGGTATTGGATAGTTCATGGGGTTTTTTTTTGTTTTGTTTTTTCCCCAGGAAAGTCTTGTTTCACTGGAGTTTTTATATTTATCTCTCAAAAAAGCATTCTTAGATTATAATAGTAATATTCAAACTAATGAAAATCCTGGCTAACGTTTGAAGGATAACTAGGTTTTGTATTCAGCATTGGGACTATATGTTTCCTTTAAGTTAATATTATTTGAAAGCTAGTCTGTTTATCTGAGTGACTTCCCTATTCTATAATAGTTGACTTTTCTTTTTGCTGCTTATAAGTTAAAATTGCTTTCCATAAAGCAACCCATAATTAGTTTTACTTGAATTACAGTTTCTATTTGAAACTTCAAGATCTAATATTTAGATTTTACAGGGAGTAGTTAGTCATTTGCATTCATAGTCGCAACTTCAGCAAAAAAAAAATAAAGTCAATGAATTTGAATTAACTTAAAGCACAAAACCAACTAATTGCAAAAAGTA